GGGCTTGACTACCATCCATTTCCTGGGATGGGGTATGCAGATAAAGAGACTCAAAAGACGTCATTTCTGTTGCAAATAGAACTGGCAAAGAAACTCCAGAAGCCCATAGTGTTACACACAAGAGAAGCAGATGAAGACACTCAAAAAACAATGACAGAAAACATTCCATTTGACTTCCCGATGGACATTCATTGCTACACCGCGTCTCTCGATTTCGCAAAATGGGTGCTTGAAAAGTACCCAAACGCTTACTTCGGGTTTGCGGGAGTCGTGACGTTCAAAAACGCGAAGAATGTCCTCGACGTCGTCAAAGTCGTTCCCCTTGATAAGATCCTCCTTGAGACAGACGCGCCTTTCATGGCACCTATCCCGTTCAGAGGAAAGCCAAGTCACTCAGGAATGATTCCATGGATAGCAGAGACCATAGCAAAGACAAAGGGAGTTTCGTTAGAAGAAGTTCTTAGACAAACCACAATAAATGCGAAAAAGCTCTTTAAAATTTAATGGTGCTAATTGAGAATTATATTAAAGTCGTTTTTATACGTGTTGTATTACTTTGAGTGAACGAGGTGGTTAATACATTACACTTTAATGTTCAAAAAATTGGCCATTAGAATGGTTAAAATCCCACTTCTTTTTGCGGTCTTGATTTTGAAACGCAGCATCGTCCAGTGCTGTTCTGAAAGTGAGACCGATCGATTTATAACAATAGTGTTGTTATACTATAATATATAGTATTCGATGAGTAGTGTGTTAAACCAATAAAGTTAGACAAACCTAGAAATGGGATTGTAAGCCACTGAATACGCGATTGGGCGTTCTTTAGATGCGCCGACCGAGCGTGCAAATGTGTTAATTTCTCCGATGAAAGACAGTTTAATATTAACTTCCCACACCTTTTGTTTGAAGATCTCAGAGACTTGAAGAAAATTGATTTTGTTCTTGAGGACGAAATAAGCAGCAATGAGTGCTGGTGCTCTGTCTCTTCCATCAAAAGAGTGTACAAGAACCTTCTCATTCTTTCTGAAAGACGTTTCTAATATCGCCATCAATTCTTTGACATATGGTGTGATCGAACCGTTTGATTTTGATATCGGGAGTCTGTAATATTCTCGGGTTGCATCCTCATCATTGGAACATTCTCGAGTGCAATTAATGATCACTTTGATCTCTTCAAGGTCTAACCACCCTTGATTGTTACTACTCTCCACACTTCCAAGATATAACAATGGAGTGACTTGACACCCTATCCCATTCTGTCTTTGGGACTTTTCTCGATTTCGGCGGAAGGTCACCGTCTTCTCGTAAGAGTCAAGTCGCATTTCTTCTTCATCCATTCGAGTTTTCATTATTTGGTATTTCTGTGCATCGTCTTTACGTTGTTTCTGCTTTTCAAGTTCATACTGCCGAATTTGCTCATCACGGAGTTGGCGGGCTAATGACACTTGTTCCGCAGTCTTTGGTTTTGGTTTAAAAAATGATGTGATTGGTATTTGCATCACTCTTTTTTCTTTCTAGAAATGTGATTTCTTTCCACATTTTTTCAATCTTAACTTCTCTTTTTTCGTTTAGTTTATTTATAATAAGTTAAACTATATATATTGGTAGTAATGTATAATTTATTTAATAACTTTTTATTATAAAAGTTTAAGAAATTTAAATAACAAAGTATTCAAATCAATTACTATAATAATAATAATAATTTAAATAATTTAAATATTAATAAAATTGTAGTACATTAAATTTGGTTTTCAAACCTTAATAATTTAAATTAAAATTAAATAGTAAATATACTATACATTTGTAATTATTAAACTCCATTAACATTAAAACATTCAACTTAAAATTTATAAAAAAACGATGGAAGAAGTTCCCCAAGACGAGAGTGACACGATGACTTTAAGTCCCGAGATCATATCTGGCCTTCACATAACAAGTGAGACGAAAGAGCTTTCTTTATTCTCATTATTAAACAAAACTAAAACAGCGAATGGTAAAAAGCTATTAGAGAACTATATTCTCCATCCCTTAACGAACAAAACGCAGATCAATTTTCGTCTTGATTTAGTTCAGTCTTTTGTCGATAATTCGCCTGCAAGATTAAGAATCATGGAGGAAGGCCTAGTCTTAATACCCGACATCACACGAATCACGAAAACGATAGAAAAAATCACATTAGAGAATGTTGTCATTTTATATAATGTGATTCAATCGACCAAAAAAATCTGCGAATTTTTGGACGATATAAAAGGAACGCAAATTGGACTTCAAATCACATTCCCTCTCAAAAAGTGTTTAGCGGATCTTGTGAATTATGAGGAACTCGTCAACACGTTGATCGATCTCGACGCAGCGCACAACGGGGTCTATCGGATCCGCGACGACTTCGACGAGACTCTCCGAGACATTCGCGAGAAGTTAGATGAGATCGACAAACTGTTTACTGCAGCTCAACTTCAAACTGCGAGTGACTTAGGTGTCAAAGCAGATAAAGTGAAGTTAGTAGAATACAACAGTAACACAGTCTTACGAGTAGCCAAGGGCATAGAAAAGACGGTGAAAGCCGACAGTCGTTTCAAAGTCCTTCAGTCATTGAAAGGTGAGTGTAAATTCACTTTTAAAACTCTTCAAGAGCTTAATGTGAAGAAAGCGGAGTTAGTGAAGAAGCAAGACAAAGTGTCACAAACGTTTGTGGATGAGATCGTCAAAGTTGTTGTTGGGTACAAAAGTTCATTTGAAGAGATTAGCAGTGTCGTTTCTTTGATCGACGTCATTCAATCATTTGCAACAACTGCCGTGAACAGCGAGGAGTCGTACGTACGGCCTGTTATAACCGAAGACGCGGGGAACATTATATTAATGAAAGCGCGACATCCTCTTGCAGAGACTTTGAGTAGTTCAGGGTTTGTTGAGAATGATGTGTACATTAATAGAGAAACGAGTCGATTTCAAATCGTGACTGGACCAAACATGGGAGGGAAGTCGACGTATTTGCGGATGATAGGGATGTGTGTTATAATGGCGCAAATTGGGATGTATGTGCCGTGTGATAGTGCCGAAGTCGCCATCTGTGACAATGTGATGTGTCGAATTGGTGCTGGCGATGACATCGTTCAAGGCGTATCGACGTTTATGGCGGAGATGAAAGACAGTGCGCAGATCTTACGGAAAGCGACGAGTAAGACATTAGTCCTCATTGATGAACTTGGGCGAGGAACAAGTACATTTGATGGGTTTGGGATAGCGTGGGGGATTTCGGAGTATTTGATTAATGAAATTGGCTGTTTTTGTGTGTTTGCGACGCACTTCCACGAAGTGACTGCACTTGAGAAACGGAATGCGGGGGTGAAAAATGTCCACGTTGTAGCGAGTATAGTGAACAGACAACTTGTTTTGAAATACAAAGTGAACGATGGGAGTACTGATCAAAGTTTGGCGGTGTATGTAGCAGAGTGGGCGGACTTCCCCAAGGAAGTTGTTGATGAAGCAAAGAAGAAAGCGCATGATCTTGAGTTAGAAACCGACTCGAAGAAGAAGTTAGAAACGTTCAATGAGAAAATGCCGAATCGTGAGGTTATATATGACAATGTCACTCAACAAGTAGTGATTGAAGGGAAGAGGATCATTAAAGAGTTTAATGTGGCGCTGCGCCAAACTGAGCCAGATAAGATCGACCAATTACGAGCGAAATACAAGGCGATGATATGCACCAACGATTTCTTGAAGTTGTTAGATCGTGTGAGTCATTGATTGCTATTATTAAAGAAGTCTTCTTCTGGTTCTAAGTTATTATGATCTGAAAACAAGAACAGTCACAACGAAAACACAATTAGAAGAGGATTAGTATCACTCCCACTGCAGCACTACAATCTTGAATAAGGAGAAAGTGTCTGGGAAGTGATTACCTGAGAAGATGTTGACTGAGTTTTCCATTGAGATATTGTAGTACATCGGGAACTTCCCAGATACAAAAGAAGAGTCTTCGATACCAAGATAATACCCACAGTGAATGCCTGTGATCCACTTATCGTTGTCTGAGGAGTAACATTTAGTTGAGTAAAACGGATCTTTGCGCATCACTTTGATTGGTTCTTTGATCACCGGACTCTTCAAAACAAAGCAGAAGAAATTGTTGTCTTTGGTCATGTAAAAGCCATACCCATTTTCTTTCGAGCTTGGGATCTCAATGGAATTGTACGACCCAAAGACACACCCATCAGTCGTTTGAACTATCACCATAGTCCGTTCTTTCCCACATGTCTTGGTATTGAAAGACCGAGCGGTAAGTCCATCTTCATCACTGTCATACAGTTTCTTCGCTTCTTTTAACCCAACCCAATTCGTTAATGTTTGCATGTACTCATCATAGAAGTTCTTAGCTAATATAACATCAGCAGGCTCTAAGACTAACTTCCTCTCTAAGATCCCTGTCGCTTTGATCTGTTCAAGTGTCGAGTGAATCACTCTATACTCAGATTCTAGGCGAATCAGGCGAGATGTTAACAAAGCAACTGTCTGTTTGGTTTCCTCAAGTTCTTTGTGTGCCGTTTCGGCCTTTTCTTCTTCCTTTTTGTCTTGCTTCTTGTTCCGTTTAAACATCTCTTTGGTTTTGCAGTTTCCTTCGTTTGGTGTTCTTCTTTGTGTCAATTAACTTATTTTGTGGTTAATTAAATGTACTATTAAGTATAGTTGTTTTGAGTTGACTTGGAATTGAAATGTACTATTTTAAGAAGGTTGTTTATGGTTTATTTTAGTATCTTTTTTTGCTCTTTTGGGGGATTCTTCGAATCGGAATTAAAAGATGAGATTGTGAGATTCGTTTTGTCAAGTTATTTTTGGAGTTAATCAAAAACTTCGTAAAAATGTAAAATTTTGTTTTTTCTTTGTTTACACGTGTTATGTGTGAAATTATATTATTATAATAAAAGTACTATATATTTGATATGTATTATAAGATTGTAAATAATTAGTTAACAAAAGAAATAACTAATTTTAGATGATTTTGGCATTTTAAGTTATAGATTTATTTATTATAATTTTGTTATTTAATTGTCGATAAGGACAAGTTCTCTGAAACATATTCTTTCGAAAAAAAAACAATGAAAAAGCCAATTTAAAACACATAAAAAAAAATGATAACAACAAAAAAAAACTGAACATTAGTGATTTGATTTTTTTAACCTCATGAAACCAAGAAATGTTTTATTATTTTTATTATTTGTTTTTTAGTAAGTGTAAGATGTAATAAAACTTTTTACTATAAATGTACTACCAATATAACGGACGTTTTTAAACCACAAATCAAAACAACTCAATAACAGCAAAACCATTTACAGAACAGTTCGTTGTGTATTTGCAGCAAGGGTTAATCATCACAGACGATTGTGTACAGACCAATTTGTATTTCGCTCCAAACATGTTCTGCCCCCTGAACCCAAAGAGAACATCACCCCCGACAACTACCTCCTTCAAATTTTCTCGTGGGTGTGTTTCGATCTTTTTACTTGAAGCCATGTTGTCTCCCAACTGAAACATGAAACTCTCCATATCCGGTTTCCACTCTCCAAAATCGATGATTGGGGTTTTGATATAACACCCGACACATGTTTTATAGTTGTCCCACGTGACAAGAGCTATGCTGGCCCTCCCTCTTAGATTATTGACCAAATTCGCGGTGGAAGCCACGTCGATGTTTTCCTTTGTCTTTTCCCATAAGACCACTATGACATGATTCTCCGTCCCTGTCCATCTCTTCAAATCGCTCATTCGTTCATCAGACAAAACAGTATAACTGTCATTCAGTAAGCACTTCTCTGGTTTGCAAAGGATGTTCTGTTTCGGCGGTGGTACCTCTTCGTTTTTCATCGAGCAAGAAGACTCCTCGTCTTGTGAAGAGGACGACCCATCAGTTGTCCTTTTCAGACCTGTAATGCTCCGCTGCATTCGCTTAAATATTTCCCTTATATTATCGTCCATTCCGTCTCGTTTAATCTCATTCTGAGATTTGACATCGCAACTCAAATGAAAACCTTCGCAGAAACGTTTATGTCCTCGTTCTTTAACTTTTTTATTTCTGTTGGATTCGTTTTGGTTATTTGTGATCTCAATATCGTAAAATGTACCATTTATATTAATTATTTAAACAATATATTATAGTTTTATTTTTTTTTCTAAAATTTACTTAGAAAAAATCCTAGTCACTTTGTTAAAATAGTCATATACTACAAATTATGTTATTTTTTATTATATGTATAACAATTGTTTTTTAACTCAATACTTCAGACACCGTTCTCCAAAAATTGAAAATCGTTCAGATTATAAAAAATTGATCACTTTTTTACTCAAAAAAAACAAATTTGATGAACCATTTCGTATTTTTAAATCTCAAAAAATGAGCAATCGCAGAAAGATATCGGAACCCAAATTACAAAATCCATTTTTTTGACGCATTGAATTACCGATAAAAAGAGACAACCTGAGAAGTATTAAACGTCGACTGAAGGTACTCCTCCTCTTCTTTTCTTTGGCGCTCCACCTGCCTGTTGTTTTTGCAATTTTACAAGCAGTTGGGGGTCCAAATTTGTGATTTTTTCCTCCACATTTTTCGCGTCATTTTTTTCCTGTTTAAAGACGGACATGGACCGATTCCGGTCGACGTTTTTCTTGACCATTTTCTTTCCTTCCAGCACCACTCCAATCTTCTTTTGTTCATCTTTTTCCAACGGGAGAGTGACACCTTTAGCCAATGGGAATAGGCCATATTTCCCGTGAGATTGCCCGAGTGCCCATCCCTTTTTATTTTCCCAAAAGACGTCGACGACATTATTGATTTCAAGACTCAACAAGTTGTCATCTGTCATTTGAAACTCAGAAACCATTCGAACTCGCTTTAAGACCGTAAACTCCTTTTGTCCATTGATCAATTCATAACAATGAACAAACCCACGATTGATCGCTGACTGCCCCGCTGTCATCTTCCGGATATCTAATTGATTCACATCAGCTCCATGCTCAAGTAACCGTTTCACCATCACCGCATCATCGCACACTACAGCGATATGTAATGGTGTTCTCCCACACCCATCTCGCGCATTTAATAGCGCCGGACACGCCGCCAGAAGTTCGTTGACCAAGTGGACCATTCCGTTCATCGCGCAGTAGTGTAACGGCGTCAGTCGATTCTTATCCGCCGCAAAACAAGCCATCTCCGCACTATGTCGCGCTTGTTTAACAACTCCCAAATGGCCTCCAAGCACTGCATAATGGAACGGCGTTCTTCCCGACACCGTCACATCCGTCATCGACAACGCAAATGTAAGACTTTCTATGATCCCTTTATATCCACACAGACATGCCAAATGTAATGGAGTCTCTCCTATCTCATTCCCCTTCTTAATAAGATTCCCACCTACCGTTTTCAACCAATTCAACACTTCAACTCGATTGTTCTGAACTGCATAATGAACAGCAGTGTTCCCACTATGATCGACATCAGAAAGGACTGATGGGTCTTCCATAAACAAACTCTGCGCCATCTTCAACCGCCCGTACGCACACGATAACAAAAAGGGCGTCGACCCACTCATCGTCGACGCGTAGATATCCCCACCAAGCCGTTTGATATATGAAAACGACTTCATGTTGCCTAACGCAGCAGCTAACATCAATGGCGTCATCCCATTCGAGTTCTTCTTCACTAACAAATTCGCACTGCTCGTTGTCGTGTTCAATTGGACGTTCAGCGACTGAAAGAAGAACTGCAGAACGTCTAACGAGTCTGATTTGACTGCGTGATGGAAGGGGAAGTTACCATTGGTGTCCATCTTATTTACCGCTTGTGGGTATGCGGAGCTAATAGCACGTAAAACTTCAAGAGGGAGGCCAACCGCAGCTGCGTAGTGTAAAGCGAGTTGTCCATAGTTATCGGGGATGTTTGGAGTTGACAAAGGTAAGAGGATATTAATAGTCGAGAGATGGTTATATTTAATAGCTAATAAAAGAGGAGACTGTCCCATACAATTCTCCGTCTCACAAGAAGCACCTTTGTTCAGTAACCATTGAACGACTAAATCATTACCATTGGCAGCTGCGATATGAAGTGGAGTACAACAAGCAGGATTGGTTGTGTTAGTCACCATCTGATCGATGAAACAAGACTGCTCCAGTTTGTCAAGGACTTCTAAGGAGTTAGTGAATGAAGCGTAATGGAGAATGGTATACCCTAAATTGTCTGTGATGTTTAACCACTCCTCACTCCCTGCCATTGAAGATAATAACTCTAAGGCAACATCTGCATGATTAAAGCGTAAAGCAACAAATAAGGCAGTTTGACCATGACGATTGAGAATGTTTTTGTCGGCATTGTACTTTAAAAGCTTCTGAGTTGCTTCTAAATTGCCGATTTGAGAAGAAACGATGAGTGAGGTATCACCATAGAGATCTTGACTGTTCACATTCATCTCGTAACTCCCTATTAATCGATCAATGAAATCATTTTTCTTATGGAAGACAGAGACATGGAGAGGAGTGATATCTTCATTTGAGGTGTTGTCATTGCTTGACATGTTTTTTAATTGATATCGTGTGGGGTTGAGTCCGACTAAATAAGGAGAACCATATGTTTCCATTATGTCGAACTGTGTATTTTACAGTTTTATCATTTCTAAAAAGATTTGGTTGTTTTATTAATAAAAAAAAGTCTTCTTATTTCTTGTTATACTTTTTTTATAGTTAAGTTTTAATATTCATATAGAAAAGATTAAGTATAATATGATTTGTTAAAAATTACTATTTGAATTGTGAGTTATTTTTATTATTGTTTTTAATAATATTATAAATTAATGGGGTATTTTTTTTTGATAAATTATTCTATTGTTTTTAATTATAAAATTTTTAACTGGTTTTAGTTTATTTTTGTTACTTTCATAATTTATTTTTAGTTTTCACTTTTTATTGCGGTGAAAAAAAAAATTTTTCGATTATTTTTTGAGTAAAAATATTTTTCTTTAATAATAACATATTTTTTATGATAATTTAGTTTGAATTTCTATACATAATTGATATATAATAAAATTTTAAATAATTTACTAGAAATAAGAAATGAGAAATGTTTATTTTTATTTTATATCATTCAATATTTATATTTTATTAACAATTGAAATTATGTATAAATTATTACTATAAATATAAATATTTTTATTAGAATACTATTACTTTTGCAAAAAAAGTTAAAAGTGAATAAAAGAAATGACAATACTTAATTAAATAAAAAACAAATGTCGATTGAAAAAAGAGAAAACGACACAAACAGAATTAATTTAAGTGAATTGAGAGATAAAGATTTACTCACACGAGTGATCAAAGTGAATGATATAGAAAATGAGTTTTATAAAGAAGACGAAATGCGAGGTGTTCGATTAATAAATGCACAACAAAGTGAAGAAAAGGTATTGTTACAAGAAGTTCTAACACCATCTCAACAAGAAATCTATAATAACAAAACTAATAACAAAAAAAGTGACAATGACAACTTTGATGCGATGAGCACTGATAGATTGAAACCCACAGAACGAAGTCCACCAACTCGGTCTAGTTCCTTAAAAAGAGCACTGAAAGAAACAAGTCCATCAACTTCAATGGAGATTGAGAAGAAGCCAAGAGAACCGAAAGACTCTAAACTTTCTCATGGGCAAGAAATCTTCCAACGAATGGCAAAACGAGTCAATTTACAAGTCAAACAAAGAAAGAAAAGAAAAACCATAACTCAACCATTAACAGAAACTATATCAGAACACCTCCCAGTGGCCACTGAACCTCAACACGACACGATAAGTCCATTGGCACCAATAGTATCACCACAACAAAGTGACTTAAGACTCTTTATAGAGAAACATATTGACTTTTTGAAGAAGAGTTTCCAATGCGTCTCTTTGGATTTGATTGGCTATTTTTCTCGTTTAGAAAAGTTGGAGACACTGAATACTCTTGTTACAACACATCATCCAATTTTTATTGCAATTCGTGTCGAACAAACAATGTTTGGGGTGTATGTGAATAATGAAATAGATGATCAAAGAGAGAGAAGGGGGTGGTTGAACGAACACACCCACGCTATAGTCTCTTTGAAAAATCAATACAATATAAATCCTTTTCTTTTCGCCTTTAAAAATCCTAAAACTCACTTTCGGAGTTGTGATGATTCATTCCTCGAAATCGAAAATTACTTCTCTCTTCGTTACGACAACAGAATCTTTCTCTATGAAAATGAAATCAATGATAACTTAGTTCTACCACCAACTATTCTAACTCCTCATTACGCTCCTGCTTCATTCTTTAGTGATGCAAAATACAGTTTAATGACAGCAAAGAGGCACATCGATGAAGTCGCAATCTATAAAGTTGTGAAGACACTCGGTGGAGTTTAAGAAGAAGTTCCACACAAAGTACCTCTTATTATACTATTATAATATACTTATTATATTATTTACTATATTAACCAAATACTATATTAGTTACTAATATACTTATTATAATACTTAACAATAATAACTCTTTCATCTCTACTAGTATTCAACCATTCCTTTCTATTTCCACAAAGAATTCATATTATAACTATAATAAACCTATACCTTATTAAAACTCCAAAAAAGAGAAGAAACGAATCAAAATACGTAGTGATGGAAGCCATGTCATTAGAGGACGTCCTTACAATCTCCCCAAATGAATTTACACTAGAAATGAATGGATTTCCGACCGTTATAGAGATAGATATTACAAATACTGCTTCTGAAGATTTTGAAGTTTTTATAACCGATGAGAAGTTACATATTCATTTCTATGGATATGTTGCCTTTAAGGAACGTGTAACAAAAATGAAGTTTTTAGCACATCCACAAGAAATTGTCCAATCCAAACGCGTTGATTTGAAGCTGAAAAGTACATTAAGTCCAACGACTATACTTCTTCCACTTTTCTTCGAAGTCGTTCAAAATGGACTGGAAGGCTCTTTGACTCGCAACGAACTAACAATATCTCCGTCCCATCGCTCGACCGATACAGACCACTCCGGACCCCTTCCCAAGCGCCAAAGTGTTCTTCTTCAATACACCAAACCTTCCGAGAACATAGAGAAGACCACATCGAAAGTCGAGACAGAAGATTTGAAGTTTCTATTCTATCGTGATGATTTAAAGCCATTAACTTTAGGTGATGGCTTGACTTGTGAATTTCTTTCACTTCGTCAAGTTATTAAGAACGAATTCTCCTTTTTAAAGGAAATGACTTCTTCTCATACCTTCCGAACTTTAGTGACTTACATGTCTTCTTCTCATGATTCTCAAGACTCTCAAGGTCTTCATTATATCCCAACTTCTCCTTTCCTCTTTCTCTTAAAAGTCGAAGCAACTGTCTTCGGTTATTTCGTCAATACCAATGCAATCAACATTAAAGACGGCTATCACCTCGACAAGACAAATTTCAAAGTCTTTTCTCTTCTCAATCATTACAAGACAAAGCCTTTTGTCTTCTCACTCCTCTACGAAACTACTTTAGTCTTCGACTTCACTCAAACGTCTTCCTTATTCATTTCTATTCGCGACTTATGTGTCATTAAGAAGGACAACACTATTTCTTTGTTCAAAGAAGACATCAACAAGATTTTATTGTCAAACTTCCACCTCCCTTTTAATTACTTCTCTCTCGAAAATGACTTCCTTGCAAAACCAATCATGGAATATGCCTTTCTAAAGGTCGAGTAATGCTCTCTCACCATTCACGTGTAACTATTCATCAATAGTAAATAAGAATCTAAAATTTACTATTGATTTACCATCGATAGAGAGAGGATGGATAGAATTAAATATACTATATTGAATAGTAAAAAAACAGTTGCTTACTATTGTGTTCTACTCTGAGGAATCATCCCATTGCGTCGACTCCGACGCAGCGTCGCTATCCTTTTTCTCTACAAATTTGGTGAATGGGTACAATTGCTCCATCCCAACTATAAACCGTGGCTTTGTCCGAGTCACCACTTCTTTGGAAAGTTTACTCTCGTCGTCCGAGATGGAATTCGCGCTGTCGTCACTGCTATCCCACTTCGCATCTTCGCTGGAATTTTTCTTTAATTCATTTTCTTTCTTCTTGTTCTCTTCTTCTTTTGCTTTCGCCAGTAGTGCTGCTTCAATCGCCTTTTCCTCTTCTTCTTTTTGTCTTCTTTCTTTTTCTTCTTCTTCACGTGCTTGTCGTTCCGCTTCGAGTCGATCTTGTCTCAATTTCTCTTCAATTTCTCTTTCTTTCCGTTCCTTTTCTTCCCTCTCTTTCTGCAATCTCTCTTCCTCTTCTTTGCGCTTTTTGAGTTCCAATGCTTCTTTTTGAGTTCGCAGTCGTCTCTGTTCCTCCTCTTTAATCTTCTCTTCTCTCTCTTTCTCAACACGTTCGGCTTCTTTCTTCGCTTCTTCTGCTTCATTCATCATCTTTTCTGCCAAGATATTCTCATAGTCGGCATTACCATTCATTTCTACTGCAACACTTGCTTGCATCAATTCTTTTTCTTCTTCCGCTTCTCTTGCGCGCTTTTCCTCAAGTTTTTTCTCTTTTTTTTCCTTTTGCAAAATCTTTTGTTTCTCCATTTTCTCTTCTTTCTTCTTCTTTCGCGCCTCTCGCCGCTTTTCCTCATTCTTCTTGTTTCGTACAATCACAATCACACCTATTAAAATGATTACTCCGACTATTACTATAATTATTAGTACTCCAACTATAACTCCAACTATAACACCGAGAGATGTACCACTCTCACTCCCATCATTCGGCTCTTTATAATTATCCGTCATTCCATTCGGACATTCTTTCGGTCGACTTTCTCCTATAGCAATATAACTCTCACACACAAAATACACTTTTAAATTCCTCCCACCTTTTAATCTATTCCTTTTAATACTTGTATTAGTTTGAATAGTTTTTTTACTTGTATTACTCTTAAAAGTCTCCACCGTCACTTTCTCCAAGTGACTTGCACTCCCACACTTGAATGGGAATAATGTCCCCTCAAACTCTTCAATAAGAAGTGTTGTCGCTTCATCAAAATTGAACGCACTTGTTTCGGAGACGACACTTTCATTGCTTCCCGGTAATCGGATCTTTCCTCCCGCAAATATCAATCCCGACTTCTTTGCAATCGAAATACTTCCTTGTGTGATATCGAGTATTCCTCCCTTCTCTATTCGCATGAGATCGGTGATCTCCAATTTCCCTTCTATCACTGCATTAAAATTAACACTCCATGCACCTCCACTAACATTCCCTTTTGTTCTCAGACTTGTAGCTTTCAGTTCCGAAACTGCCAATCCATTACTTGACAGTGTAATTGCATTTCCTTCTATTCGTTGTATCCTTCCTTCTATTTGGAACTCGACATTCGTGCAATTAATCGTGTTAATCACAACAGAATCTCCAGTCACCATTTTCACTGTCTCTGATAATGTAAGTCCATCAATATATCCACTCAACCCACTCACTATCGTCCCTTTTTGATCACTCAAGTCAATAAAACACATCTCATTCCCACATGGACAATACCCACTTTGATACGTCGAATTACGATAGTTAAACTCACTCATTGCCACTTCACCAACACATCTCAACTGCTCCGCTGGCGTCTTCCCTATTCCGCAGATAAACAAATACGTGTTATCGTACTTCACATACAACTCGTTCGTGTTGATGACATCAATCGATTGTGCATAATCCCCAAAAGCAACAGCTGTGCATTCACTCACTTTCTCAACATTCGCTGTGCATTCATCTACTCTCAACTTCCCACTCCTTATAAACAAATCCATCCCATTCATCTCACTCTTCGAAATCGTCACGTTCCCTTCTATCACTACTTTCCCACCAATTTTAACGCTTTCTAACACTCCACTTTGCACTACCACATCCCCTTCCGCTGTTATCTTCCCATTCAAAACGGCTATTTGTGACACCGTCGAGTCGACTACTTTCATCTCAACGTCTTCGCCTGTGACAAAGAGAGATTTCGTGTTCATAAAAGTAGCCTTCCCAACTATTATACTATGTATGATATGACCATGGGAGACTATTAAATGGTCCTCTATAACTAACTGTGACATCCGTAACACGTCATTCCCATTGATCTGCAGTCCTTCTTTGTAATTGATGATATTTGTAAGTGTGGTTGTCAGTGTTGCTTCCGTGTCATTATAACCAGTAAAGTCGATGACACACCCTCTCTCAAATATTTGGACAAAAGTACTCAAACATGGGGATTCTGGGGTCCCTACTAAACCTTCACATATATATGAACTCACACTCGATTGACACGCCCATATCTCATCATCATGACATGAATATGTCCCATAATACACTTCAATTGTATTAACATTCTGAACTTCCCCCATCCCTTCACTCGTCGTAAGTCGCCCAATTCGCTGACACTTCGGATGTGCTTGCAACTGGATTTCAGTGAATGGAAGTGTCACATTTGTTGCTCTCTCTATTACTCCTTTCTCTCCAATCGTCATATTCACCGATTTGGGCTCATTTGTGATCACCAAAGTCCCATCAAGGTCGACTTGAATGTCTCCATTGTGTTGGGTATACTTCAATGTATTCCCCGCTGTTACAACAAACTTGCAATTATTATTTTCATTGACAGTAACACTTCCATCTATAGTTACTTCATTTCCTAAGGTACATACTATCTTCTGTATCACTATATTCTTCACATTGACATTTCCTTTCACTACTATATTGACTGCAGGAAAGTATTCCGTCACTTGTTCATTGCTCTTCTGCTCCAAAATTGATCCATCAAACAGTTCTATATTGAGTGTTGGTACAGTGAGTGTACTAACACCAAGTAATGTCAACCGATTATACACCTTCACCACTTTCATCTCTTTGTAGATGTCAAATACAATCTTCCCCAACACATCGTATTCACAGAACACACACCCAGCAAGACATTGCTCCTGATTCTCAAATGTAAATGTGCTCAAATCAGCCGACCGAATTGAACGCAATTCACAGATCGACGTTGGGCACTTTGTAAGATCAGTGTATGCATCTAACGTTGTCACAACGGTATTACTACACACCCACGACGATGTTTCCGGTATCCTGTCAATCGCATTTGTCAATTGTGACTTTAGAGTAACATTTGTAACGACGGTTATATACGTCGAGAACGTCACCTCCCCCACTCGAGTCGTTCCAAGTTCAACAATCGCGTCTTTATAGAACGTCAAAGTTGTGATTTCTCCCCTTTGGAATGATCCGTCTTCATTAATAAAGACGGTCCCGCCTGTGATTTCTTCAATATCAAATGTGTTGAGTGTAATTGTCTGTGTCACATGGACTCCATAACTCTTCAATTGGACTCCAAAGATAACAACATTTGCTTCTACATATCCAATCTCGACTAATGCAGGCGCTTTAGAGAACTGGAGACTTGCGTTTGGTATTAAAATAGCGTTATATTTCTCATTCCTTAATTTCAGTGTCACTGTCCCTGTTTTGTCGCTATAAAACCTGACGCTTTGGTTATGACAGTCGACAGGAGTAGTACTTGGGTAATATTCATTCTCTTCGTTATCAAGATCAATAGTCGCAACTGATGAATCGTCGTTTCTATAAGAACACAGTGGATATGACTGTTCGCAGTGACTTCTATATCTTCCATCAATCGACAGAAACGCGTCGGACTTATTACACGCGACATTGAGAAGAGAATTTGTGCGTGTTAAATTGAAGTTCTGAGTGTACCCGTTGAACAATTCGTAATTCTCCGTTTGCACGTTAGTGTATGACGCGGAAGAGAAGATGAAAGAGACTTTGCGACTCAATGTGAGTGCACGGGGTATTCCAGTTTGGATGCCGATCTTTGAGATCTTTACTGTAGTCTTTGTGTCGTTCGATCCAATGACAGTCGGCTCTTTCAAGATGACTTCATTTGCATTGAAATTGCCATTAAATCCTATTTGAGACGTTTTATCGAAGATTAGAATGTCATACGAACCTCCTCCAATCGACGCTTCAATTAGAGAGTACTCTAAAGTCGTTGAATATGTCGCTGGACTCGTCGTATCAAACACTACCTTTGGAACGATCTTATTATTTGTCACAAGAAACCACCCTTTCCCGACTTTGGGATTTGACAAACAGTTGGGATGTGCCAAGCAAAGCAATGAATTCTTTGAAAAGGAAGACGTTGCTTCTATCATGTCTATAGACGCGAAATATGTCAAGTCTAATAGAACATTTTGTCCTAATACAATACCATTCGCGTATGTCCCTGTATTGATCCCAAGACTTGCTGTACTCGTTGATGTCGTGATCTTCGAAAAGTCGTAGTTGCATAACACCGTGTCACTTCTAGTACTTCCACATGGACAATTAATCGTGTCTGTAAAGCCCTTAGTGTTGATGTCATATATACACGTGATTTTTGTCACGTCTCCCATAACACTACTAAATAGACATGAAAGTATCGTATAAAAGAGCTGCATTGAATTTTTCAGTCTTTTTTTCCTCTCCACTCACTTTTCTTCTTCTTTCATTCAATCACTTGAACAATCTATTTTTTTAATTCTTCTTTCTATAATGTTTACTAAAGACAAAAACAAAACAAAAAAATTCAACTCAAAAATTTTTCCTTCTTTTTCCTTCTTGTTTTATTTTTTTTATTTTTTTCAGTTTTTTTATAAAAACCAAAATCCAAATATAGTTCACTTTTACATTAAAAATCACACCCAAAAAACAATGATTTGTTTTAATAAAATGAACTTTTATTTATCGTCGATATTTACTATTTTTTTAGAATAATAGTATTATAATTATTTGATTATAATATTAATTATTATATTTTTAATAATAAACTTTAACAACAATTAACTATAACATTAATAACTTCAATACTATTACCATTAGATTAAAAAATGTCAACATGTCCTAACATCTCGCCAAACAGTGGGTCTTTCTCCACATTCATTTGTACCATTTCAGGCACTTTCCCAATCTTTTGGATATAGTCTGTAGTGAATTGATGCACATTTGGGAAGAAAAATTGTTCGATAAAGTCTTCTTTGAGTTCGCAGTTGTCGATAACGACTTCCATCAGTTCATACACAACTTCGTGGAAGAAACTGAAGAGACTTAAAGGTGTTCTATGGTCATCTGTTCCTTTCACGTACAACACTTGTTTCATTTTATTATAAGTCAAACAGAGTTGATACCACTCAGCCACTAAAAATGCAAAGTCTTTAGGTTTTCCATTGATCTCAATGTACTTCACTGCAATAAAGAAAATGATTTTCCACAGATCAACTCCCTTCTCAAACGACTTGTTGACAAACCCAACTTCTTCCTCTTTGAATCCAAACTCCTTCAAGTATTCATTCAATGTGATGTTTTCCATCTTCTTCGCAGTCTTCACTTTAAATGGCGCATTCAAGTCGTTTTTCTTTGTGTCGTAGTATTCTTCAACGACAGTTCCTACAGGTAAAAATGTTTCATATATCGCCTTTCTAATGTTCCGACACACACACGCAGCAGAGTCTTCCTTTGGGTCGCACTTTGAACTTGGTCGTACGGAGACTGAGAACGCTCCCAATATGATAGACATCGAATACGCACAATTTGGAAACTTTTCTTTCTTCAGAGGTATTCTCTCTCGTTCCTCTTGTTCATATTTGTCATTACATTCCAACATTCTTTCCGTTTGAACCAACGCCCGTCTTAACCCTTCCAATGTGTTTTCATTGAGGCGTTCAGAGATCATCCCTAACACGTCTTTGTCTTCATCAAACCTCCTAAACTTCTTAACCACCGACTCAATCACATTCTTCTCGTCGGGAAGACCCAATTTCGTTCTTAAAGTTCGCGCAAAGGCTGTTGTAAAATCGTTGCCGCAGACACAGCAGAACATCGGAATATGTTCGGGACAGATATTGAGAAAATTGGCGACGTCGAAGATCGAAATGCCCCGGAAGAAGACGCGCGAATGGTCCAAGTTCTTCCTCGATATGACTCGCGTCATGGTCTTGACAAAACTGATGTGCGTGAATAAATTGCGGATGTTCGAGACAAGAAAGTCCGAGTCGGAGGTCACAACAGCGTACGCTTCACGTTCGATGGAGAGGCGGACTATGACGGGATCTGCCTCGGAAACACTTCGAATACATTCAAAGCCATGTTTGAGTAACAAGTGTTTCAAGACACGTTTGAACCCCGAAAAGATAGTAACGCGAAGGTCCGAGAGGCTGTTGGGCTTGTCGAAGAACGAGCGTGTCTCACGGGCCTGACTCTTTAAACGTTCGATCGATTCGGCTTTTTTAATCACCTGTGTCATTCCATCAAAAACAAAAATCAAAGAAATGTGATGCAATTTTAAGACGTCTGCCATCCCTTTGATGTACTTGTCTAACTCATTCAAATCGTTTTTGCATTCCGAAATTATCTGAAACATAAACCCACTTCCATCTACTATAATCTCCGTCTTTTTATGTGAGCCTGTGGTGTTACAATGTTATAAATGAATAAAAATATTAGAATATATTGTTATATTTATTATATTATATAGTAATAATTAGAATTTTAAATCACAAACGAGTGTAATACTTGTCTGCTATTGAAAAGAGAGGAAAGCCTTTAGTCAGCGACTCAGCATATTTCTATGGGTAACTTTCTTTCCAACTTCTCAATCTCGAGATAAAGACAAACCATTAAGTGTGGTATCCCCATCGTTCTTTAGTTTCTCCTTTCTCAGTTAGTAGTCTTTTTATTACAAAAACATTTTTCCTGAGAATCTCTCGATGAAAAATATTGAGTCTTGTTGTAAACAAACCTATTTATAAATTATTAGAAATTATAGTTATTACAACTAGTACTAATTCTTATCTAAGTCTTATTTTTGAAACTAGTTTGTATAATTATATTTATTAATAACAAATGGTATTGATTTGGCAAAAACTGTTGTGTGGTGATAACCCTACACTTTTTATTTTGTTTTTTGTTTTCCTATTTATAACAATGTTCAAATATTCAGAAGTTGTCCATTCCAATATCTTACAAAAAAATTCCCTATATGTTAAGTTGAAAACCTAAGATATTTCCTTTTTATAATTTATACATTTTAGTAAATTATAACTTTACATTTAATAAATCAATTATAAAATAACCAGATAATGATAGTAAAAGAGTAATAAATACTAGTATATCTCTCATTGCCAAGAACCAGATAGTAATAATAAAATAATTAAAAACAACTTATAAAATGGATTACGACGTAGATAAGAAAACCCTAAAGATACTGAAAAAGGTGAGATGGCCGAGGAGCACGTTGAAGCACAAGATCAAGCACAAGAACAAGTCGAAGTTGTTGAGGAACTTCCACAAGAATTAAAGGACATCAAGGCCGTGTTGAGCCAGGCCCACACCCAATGCTGCTTATTCAAAGGTATCAGACAGTGCTTGAAGCAACTTGAGAACGATCACATCCTCTACTTGTTCCTTGCTGATGACTGCGACGAAGAAGACTACAAGAAATTGTTGACTGCTCTTTGCAAGGAGAAGAACGTTAAAATCGTTAAAGTCCCAGAAAAGGCCAAACTCGCCGAGTGGTCCTTCCAAGCTAAAGTCAACGCCGAAGGTAAAATCGTCAAATCCACAAAATGCTCCTGCGCAGTCGTTGGAAAAAGAATCAGAATGTCTGACGATCTCAAGAGACTCCAGGCTAAGCTCGACGCTTAAAAAGTGATTCTTTTATGTTACTTTATGTTTGATTCATACTTTTATAAGTCATTTACTATTCACATACTATTGAATCACATTACTAATATCTTATATTTATATTTATATTATTATTATATTACAATGTTTAATAGTTATAAACATTATTATATTATATTATTATATTATTATATTATTATATAACATTTTTAATAACAAAATTGAATTATATCGGACCTTTTCCAAAAAAAGCAAAAGAAACGATGCCTAAGATGCACAGAGCTATCAGATAAATAGCAACCATAGTAAAAGAAGCAAAGGAAAGTTTGAGTTCTTTTTTAACATTTGATTGAAAGTAAACGATGCCAATTGATATCCAGAGATAAGGCAACAAGAATCCAAGTATAAATAGAATAAGAGCAATCTTATACCGTTTTTCTTGGTTATAGTCTTTGAGATCTTTGTCCATTTGTTTAACGTCTGTTGTTTGTTCTTCGTGTTTATAAGGGTCAAACGATTTTACTAACACAAAGGTTTTTGTTGGACCAACTAAAGGAGGTGGCTTTGGGTATATAAATTGTGTTGAAAAGGGAGAATATGGCGAGTATGAAGAGTAATTAGATGTGTTTCTGTCTGAGCGTGATGACATTGAAACTACCATTTGAGATCATAAGAGTGAGACATTTGTCAGTAATTTGGTTGAATGGGAAGAGTTAATTCCAACAGATTTAAATAACAAAATACTAAAATGTTATTGTCAAACTAAAATTTATAGTTTTTGTAATTATTAAAATTTATTAGACAAATTGTAATAATAAAATAGAGTCAATAATTTTTAGAAATAAAACCAGTCATCTTTTCATCTGTGTTCCTCTCAAATAAGTTATCAGGATGTCTACATACCTTCTCTGTTTTATTCTTCATCAAACACTTTTTGCAATTGACATTAAGAATAAGGAGTTTAACAATTTGGTTCATCTTGTCATAGTCTTCTTTTAATATTTCACACTTCTGTCTGAGTATATTTGTATTCTCAATAAACTCGTGAGCTTCTTTGGTATGTTCTTTCCTCTGCTTTTCTATTAAATATCGTCGTTTCCGTTCTGCTTCTTCTCGCTTCCTAGTCTTCTTTTTCTCTTTTATTACAAGGTCAAGTAATACACGATCAATTTTCGGGACAAATAGACTTGATTCCGATTCTGATAAGTGCTTCTCTAAGTCCATCCGTTTCATAACTAATTTGTGAGTTACCCAATTTCTCACTCAAAAAACAGTCAATTTTTTTCCTTTCAAATTAAAAATAACAAATCATATTATTAATAATAATTGATATTATAAAATATAGTTTATTTTATTTTTTAAACATCCTTTTTATATTATATTTCTATGATATTATAATAATATATTATAGTAAATAAAAAAATAATAGTAGTATAAACTAATTTTAATAGTAAACAAATACAAACAATGAATTAAATTTGTGCCACGTAAATATAGGAGGTGGTCCTATTTTGTGAATAACAAAAAAACAGTTGAATTTCCTCGACTTTTTCTGGGTCTCCTGTACAATCATTTGATTTGAACGTGATTTTTTCAATCCCATTTTTGAAAGAAGAGAACATGATTGAGTAGACCACATGATTTAAACAACCACTTGGGTAATACAAGATATCGGGATGCACGCCAGGAGCTATTTTACACTCCCAAGAGGTATAGTAAAACTTCTCTTGAATGAAGTAAGGGGGAATCGTATTCATGACATCAAAGCCACTGGTCATCACTTTGGCTGGAAATAATTCGTCGCAAGAAGATCCTTCAAGTTCATAGACCGTCTTCATATCATCAGATAGTATAAATTTATAATAATATTCAATACCTTGATAACAGGCTTGTTCTTCTATCACAAAAAACTCAACGGTTCTATCATGGGAAACTATATAGCGACTTAACGCTAAATCAATCAACAAGAAGATCACAAAACTCATCATTCAATCACTTCGTTTAATTCTTCTCAGTTTCTCATGGGAAGATCGGGTTTGGTAGAAAGAGGAGACTCTGGGTTGTTATTTATACACTTTTAACATAATTTTTTCATTTTTTTAATATTGAGAAACTATTGATTAGATTTTAAACTGTATATTCTTTTAACTTATTCCGTCATTTGGTTTTAAAAAAATGACAAGTTTTTAAATTTTTTCAAATGGAAATTGGAAATTATAATATTTAATAAACTTTATTATTAACAAACTAAAATTTTATTATAACAAAAATCCACTTTTTTTAATAAATTGTATTTAAAAAGTATAAAAAAGTTACCAAGAAAAAAAAATAAAGCAAGCTACACATTATAATAAAAATAACCATAGTAAATAGAATTACTCGTTATATGGTTTAGTTGGTAATGTGGGTTTTTTGAATTCTTCGATTTGAGTTTTAAAATGACTGTAAAGAAAGACTAAGATTGAAGACGGGACAGTCATCACAAAAATCCCGACCATCACATTAAAAGCAAAAATACAAGCAATTCCCAACACGATAATATGTACCAAAATGATAATCAGAATGATTAAAGACCCATCCATTTCTGTGTTTAGTAGTTGTTGTATTTTTATTTTGAATTTCGTGTGCAAAAATTTAATTATTAAATTATAGTAATTATATTATCTATAATAAAAAATAATATCTGTATTAAATTCTATTAATTAATTAATTAATCTAATAATATTTAATTAACTAAATAAATTAAAGAACTAACTTTGATATAATACAACATTTGAAACATTATTGACTTTTTTTCTAATTCACTACAAAGAAAAAATAAAGTAAATAATACTATCTCTTTATTATAATAAAAGAACTATATAATTCACTTTCTTTTATGTCTGTTCAAACTAACGACTTCGAGAAGCTGAACCAAGCCATCAAAGACTCCAAAGAAAATTATGTCCGCGTCGATTTCTTTTCAAAGCCTTTCGATGAACTCCACCGTGAAGTATGTCCTTATAAAGTAACTTCCCAGAATTTCCAAGGCGATGGGCATTCTTTTGACCCTTCTCAAATTTTGTAATTCATTTATTATATTATTATTATTATTATTATTATTATTATTATTATTATTATTATAAAAATTTATTATAATTTATATTTCATAATAATAAAAAACAGTAATTCACAACAATTCACTCAACCTTTTGGGTCTTCATTTGTTCTTTCATGCACATCTTATTCCACCTCCTCTTCTCGCATTCAATCAAACTTCTGCACATTCCTCTTGATTTTAAAATTCCGATTGGTGTTGTTCCTACGATTTCAATAGCCAAAGGGCCGTCCTCGTCATTATCGACGTCAGGGCTTCCCGCGCCTTTTAAGATGATTGTGACGGTATTTTTCTTTTCGATGTAGGCGACATTAGTCCTGTCTTTTCCTTCGATCATTTGAGCGAAGAGAGCTTCTTCGTCTTTGGACACGAAGCGTGGGGGATAGACTTCGAGTCGCATTCTTCCATTAAAGAGTGCGCGAATGTTTTTCTCGCCTTCTTCGAGTTCTCTGGGAGTGTCGCCTTTGACAAAGAGATAGAGAGGGGTTTGCCCGCACTTATTGACATACGTCGAATTGTCGTCGGGGTCAAACTCGGTGCCGTGGAAGTCTTCCTGATAGTTCCCTTTAACAAAGACGTGGACGTTAAACTCCTTCATTAAGAATTCGTGCGTCACACTTTTCAGCAATTGCCCTCTTAAGTATGGGTTTAAGTGATTGATGCAGATCGACTTCGTATACTCAAAAGTCCCCTTCTTCAACTCCTTCAAAAACGCGTCCAAGTCGTTTTGTCCAATCGTCGCAAGAGCAAATTGTTGGGGGACTACAATAAGTGCTTGCGTCGGGTCCGTTATCGCTACGGAAATGTTTTGGCCTTGTTCCTTTAACGTTCTCAAAAATTCAGTATTGACTACATCCCACTTTTTTCTCTTGGGTGAGTGACTGCGTGGTGAGCGCGGTGGCTTTGGTGAAGATGTCACTTCCTTTTGACTCATATGGCGTTTATAAGTTCGGATCGTAGTGTTGTATAACATTTCAATAACATTTAAAAAGTATCAAATAAAAACAATTTTAATAACAATTTTAATAACAATTTTAATAACAATTTTAATAACAATTTTAATAACAATTTTAATAACAATTTTAATAACAATTTTAATAACAATTTTAATAACAATTTTAATAACAATTTTAATAACAATTTTAATAACAATTATTAAAAAATATTTAGAAAAAACATTTACTTCTCAAATAAAGAAACTCACCACTGTACAAACTATACAATATAGTTATTATATTATATAATAATGGTTCTATAGAGTATCTATCTAAAGAAACTAACGAACTTGAAAATTGGATGCTCATTCTTTATTGTATAATAACAGCGTTGGCTGTGCCGCAATTTAAAAACATTGATATCAATACTTCTTCATATCAACACACCCATGAATCTGTATATGCTCCATTAACTCGAAATGTAGGATGTGGTGACGCTGCTGTCACACGGGCGACATGGTTTTCTGTGACGAACACGTCACCGGAGCCCATAGCCGTTTCAGTTCAATTTTATAATGAGTTCCGTGTCTTAAATAACGGAATTTTGTCGTTCACTGTGATATCGACTCCCATAGGGAAAAATTCCCAATGTCTTGGGAAGTACAATGGGACGGACAAACTGACTTCCACGACGTTTACACTTCATCCGACAGAAAAGGTATATATCACCCATCATGCCACAGTCAATGGCAAAGACACAAAGAAGTCCGAGTGGCTTCGTATACGAGCGACTCCCGCATTTTGGCTTAAAAAAGGGACTTTGGTGGTCAAACCCAATTACAACGATGTGAAGAAATTGGACACAAAAACATCAGAAATGACTAATGTCACTCAATTAGTTAAAAACACCGACAAAGTCCTTTCCGACGCTCACTCGATGATCAAAAGTATTAAACGAGAAACACTCGCGAAGATCACAGCACAGAAAGTCGCCGAAGACACCGTCCATCGCTACATCGCCGCAGCAAACAAACGTCCGATGAAGCCAATTAAAGTGGCTTTAGTCAAGCGGACACGTACAGTGAAATTGGGTCAGCGGAAGTATCGCGCGTCGCGACTCCACTTCGACGAATTGATTTCCTTTGAAGACCAACAATTCACAAAAGACAGTTGTAACCCCTCCAACATGATCCGAGCTAAGTTCTATACCGTCGACATCCCCGCAGGTAAGAAATTGCGAGTGAACACCTGTCATAAAGCGACGGAGGGCGATGTGAAGGTGGATGTCCTCGTTGGCGACAAATGTCGTGAAGTGAGTCGATATAAATGTCGGCGGATGAAAGGAGAAGTAGTTCAATATGTACCTACAGGGACTAATGGGGAGAGTGTCGTTGTCCGCGTGAGTTCTTCGATGGTCAAGGCGTATGCTTTTGTGAAGATCGACGCGTTAAATATCGTCAAACAACTCTCCAAGTCGAAACGAGAGAAATTGGAAAGAGAAGGAAAATTCAGATTTGGTGGATTTTGGGCAAAACAATGGGGGGACAAAACAAAGACAAATTCTTCCACGTGTAAACAATGTCAATTAATCAAAGACAAAAACGGGGGAGTAATAAAATCATCAGAAGATTGTAAAAAGTGTCCAGTTTTAGTTAATAATAATTCTCTGAAAAAGGGAAGTCCTCTCAATGAACAACAAAAAAGTGTTGCTTATGACTTGACAACTCTTCACACTTCTATTAAAAAAATCGGACCGAAAAAAGTCGGAATAGCTCTTGGGGTCGTATTCGGTGTCATTCTATTGTGCTGTGGTGTCGCAGTTATAATCCTTAAACTTAAAAAGAAGAAAAACATGGACTACAATCCTCTTTAATTCAGTCACTGTTTTTACTCTATTTGAGTGATTTTATTTTCCTAATACTTTTATTATTAATAAAAAATTTTAATAATATTATATGTGAAACTACTTTTATATATAAAAAATTATAATTATTTATAATAATATATAGTAAATCACATTTATAGTAAATTATAGTAAATTATAGTATATATAGTATATATAGTATATATAGTATATATAGAAATTAATAATATAGCAAATTCATAGTAACTTTTTTAAAACAATTTGTCAACTCAATTAGTCACCAACAAAGTTATAAGATAACTAGAAAAAGAACTTAAAAACAAAGAGACCATGGATATTGATCAAATAGAGAAGACAG